GACACAGTCAAGCAGTAAATTGAGCTAAATATTAGTTCATATTTTGCAGGGTCCTCGCTGAGCAGTGATCACCCGCTTTACGCTGTTCTGTTCCGCCTACACTATAAATAGGCCTCGAAGGGGAACTGTAATTCTCCATTCACATCCAATGTAAGTAGGCCCAATGGAATTTCAAGCCCGGATCTACACCTCCTCCTTGTCCGTGACGAGAATTTTAATTCTCAAAATCTTGCTCATAAAACTGAATTAAAACAGTTTTTTCTTAATATAATAAAAAATATTTATATATTTTAGGTTAATTAAGTTGTATATATATCACAATTTTAATTTTTTTTTGTCACAAAGTGTTTGTGGAGAACATAACAAACATTATTTGAAAAGAAATTTAATTTGAAACCTGGCTTGATCAGAAAATTAGCTAAGGCTATAGTTTCTAGCTATAACCAGCACGGTTAAGTTTGAGCCGTAAACTATAGAGAAGACTTGGAATTTGGAAAACAAGGATGGAAAGAGAAAGAGAGTGATTTCATTTTTTTTATTTAAAATTAAAATGATGTAAAAAAATTCAGAATAAGACCACAACGTCGAGTGAACAAGATAACCATGTCCAAACTAAATGAAGCTACAACTTTAACTCGAGAACAACCAATCAAGACTCATTAAAAATTTAAATTTTGGCGTTGATTATGATATGTACAATAAAAGCATTGTTTGACAACTTAATTAAAGTAGTTTAAAATTTACAGTTAATTTTTCTTCCAAATTGAAGAAGTGCGTTCATATCAGTACCCCCAAACATAAGCACAAAAGCTATTTATTACGTTCACAGTTAAGACAAGCTCATCGGAAAGAATAGTTGTCCTTCCTATTGGTTTTATCAACAGATTCTCTTGTCTGTGTCAGCTAGCAAACAGGTAAATTCCTAGGCTATGGCATACTCCCCCCATCTTATATTATAAAATATTTTTAAATAAAATTTTACATACAATAAATTTTATTAAATATATTTAATAATTTTATTTTTTAAAAATAAAAATATAAACTTTTAAAAACACTCATTATTTAATATATTAAAAAGAGAGTGGATATAAATTAATAATAGAAAAATAAAAAATAATATTAAAATTAATACATTTAATGAAATTTTATTTTACTCAAAGTGTCTTATATTTTAAAAAAAAAATTTAAAGTATCTTATAATTTAAAATAAAAAAGTATTATATAAACCAAATTATTCTGAAAAATGGTTGTGGTATTTGGACATGACATATAATTGTAACAAGGACTGGTTTAATTTGTAAATAGTTCGACTCAAATCTTTCAAGAACGTGTGTCTAAATTAGGCTGCTAATGTGAAGATTTTGTCAATGAATAATTTATAAATATATTTTGAATCATGAGATATGTTTTGATTTTAATAAATTCTCAATACTTAATTCACTTAAATTTTTTTTAATGTATCAGGCAGAATAAATAAATAAAGCAGGTAGAAAAGTTTGCTAGCTCGCTTGCTTCTGTCATTACATTGTTGTAAGTATGAATGTTTATTCATCAAATGTACCGCAATCTTCATTTAGTTTCTAAAAGTGTCATTTTATTAATTACAAGCCGGAGAAGGCAGAAGTTTCAAAGAGTACCTGCGTGCAGCATAGAGAAGCTATTGATCTTGATATTTTACTTATTACTATATATTAATTTGATTTGATGTTTAGCTCTTGTTTCATATTCTGATTCCTGTCGGCTTCTTGTTTTACAGCATAAACCTGTGCAAATTTTAACCCGCAAAAATGACAGCATATATCTTTGAATTATCAAGATTGTAAAAATATTAAATCAGCCAAATGAATTGATGTGATTGAAGATAATAATTCTCGTGTCTTAAATAAGCGTAACTGAGAAAGCAATATCACATAACTCTTGGCACATGTACGTAGAGCAAACTCAGCTGAGAGAAATATATTCGTTCTCCATATTTACCGACAGAGACTACCCCGTATTATAAATGGAGAATACACTTAATTTCATAAAAAGTATACAAGCAAATAAATACATCAAGTTTAGATATACTTATTCCCAATCTTATTATCGCATGTGACAAAGCTTGACAAGATCCGTCATATTTTCCATGCAAGAATTAGGGAGAGAAAAAAACACTTTTCCATGCATAGAAATTTTGCCCAGCAAAAAGGAAAAAATATATATATATAATTTTAAGTTTGTTGAAACGGGACTTATAATTTTGGAGCATGAACCTCGAAGTTGTCTTCAAACAAGAATGTAATTTGGATTATATAATATTGATCCCAGGGAGCGATAGCTTTGCTAACTCCTCAACAGCAACAAGGGAGAATTCCCCAAGCTTTGTCTTGCTTTTTGGAAGGTGTTGATATACGTACCAGAAAACAAATCTCTCGGCTTTTAGTGTACGGACACATATATAGTTCTTAATTTTACGGACCTGTCTTCACATTCAAATGTCAAATGTTCAGGTAATGAAGCAATAACTTTGTCCTCAGGAGAATAAGTGCAATATCAGGAAAACCTCAAGCAATCATCAACACCAGCTTCAACCGACCAAGAAGAAGCGAAATCTCCCTGGAACTCCAGGCAATCACCATAGCTTCTTTTCTCCTACATACTTTTTTCATGCATCTTTGACCACGAATCAGATTTTCTTGTCAACTTACTATAAAATAGTTTATCAGGTTTTTAGCTAGCAATGGTAATGATGGGTGAAATTACTGATGAATTAGATCCTGATGCTGAAGTGATTGCTCTGTCACCGACGACATTGATGGCAACGAACATTTTCGTGTGTGAGATATGCAACAAAGGGCTTCAGAGGGACCAGAACCTGTAGTTGCACCGGAGAGATCACGATCTGCCATGGAAGCTGACACAGAGACCGAGAATTGAGGCGAGCAAGAAACGAATTTATGTGTGCCCAGAGCCTTCATGCGTCCACCATAACCCAGCTCGAGCTCTCGGAGACCTCAGCATCTTCAAAAAGCACCTCAGCCGCAAACACAGCAAGAAGAAATGGAAATGCGACAAAGTGCTCCAAATTATACGCCGTCCAATCTGACTGGAAAGCCCACCAGAAAACCTGCGGCAGCAGCGAATACAAACGCGACGGTAGCACTATTTTCCAGGTTCGTCACGCTTTCAGATTGTTGTATATTCTATTAATTGCGAGGTCTTTAATCTCCGTGCATGTTATCTGAATTGTTCAGGAGATACAGTTTTATCACTCACAGGGCATTTTGCGATGCATTGAGGGAAAAAAACAACAGGGTGAGCCAGGGATTAGCGATCGGGCGTCTCCGAGCACTAATTCCAGCACAGCATGGTTCCTCAAAAAATTCTTGCAGTGCCATTCAAGCCCACGAGCATGAGCATGCTCATGTGGGGTCAAGCTCGTAAGTTTAAACAAATCTGTGACAATCAAATCGCAAACTTGTAAACTCATAAAAATTTATTTTTATTAATAAATGTTTATTAAAAATATATAATTAAATAATTAAAATAAAAAATATAATCATAATTTAATATAAATATATTTTAAATATAAATTAATGAAATTAAATCCAATTATTTTGATAGATTATCATACAAAATATAAAAATTTTAAAATAGAGTAACTTATTTTTTATTTTCTTTTTTTATTAATATTAATTTGTGCTTTTTTAATTTGTTTCCCTTTGAATCAGGTCATATCCCTTTTATGAACCAAGTTTTACATACTATTTACTTAACTCTGTAAAAAATTGACAAGTTTGATAAGTTTGATTAAGTTTATATTTAATTTAAATTTATAAATTAATTAACACAATTTTATCAGGTAGAAATGTAAACTCATAAATGTGACTAAGTTTATATTGAACCTAAATTTATAAATGAATTGACACAAATTTATAAAATAAAAATGTAAATACGTGGAGTTTGACAGCCATTGTGAGAAGGCATGTTCACCACCACCTCAGGTGCACTTTTCGGAGGTCCTCCTCCTCGTTCTAGCTCCGGCGTTTTCAATTCCGTCCAAGATGGCAAGAAAGCTTCAGATCAGTCAGCTCACGCGTCTGCGGCGGCTTTGCTGCAGAAAGCAGCACAAATGGGCGCCACCGCAAGCAGTAATAGCATGAACTCTTCCATGGTTCAAAAAGGGTACGTCACTTCCATGGCAGGTCCTGATTACAGCCGTGAACCTAAATTGGCTGTGGCTGGGATTGGTGGTGGTGGAGGAGAATTCAGCAACCTATTGTTTCAGAAAGGTCCACAAGAAATCTCGCCATATGGAAATGTCGAGCCAAATAGTGATGGGAGGAAGAGATGGAGCAGAAGCGAGTGAGATGACCAGAGTTCACGATTTCTTGGGCGTTGGGGGGATCCAGTTTCGTGGCACCCAATTTGGAGGAGTTCCATGACGGAGACTGGAGTTGGAAGCAATTACAAGCCTCCACACTCGGATTCATTACATGTTGCATTTGATTCTTTCAAATTGGTAAAATTGCTTTCTTTCTTAATAGCTAAACTTCCATTCCTGTTTTAATTTCACATGATAAGTTTAACGTTCTTTTTTCGTCCAATAAGGCAATATTTTTCTAAGTAATTTCGGTACTTTATTAAAGGAAAAATATAATTTACAAGTTTAGCGTTTTTTTAAAAAAATAAGGTAGTATTTTTAATAATTAATTTGAGTCCGTTATGCTGGGTTTTTTTTTTTTTGTTAAGAACACATGTTTTTGTCAGTCAAGAGGTTTCATAATTAAGGCCCAAAGTGCTATCATGAAGCCCATTGCTTAAAAAAAGGTCGGCAGTTTGGCCATTGAATGCGGAAAAAACCCTAACCCTAATTAGATCGCTTCTATTTAAGCCGCCCGAACGGGGCATTCGCCCACCATCAGCTCGTTTGTGTTCTCTCTTCGTGTCTATCTTTTGGTAGGTTATCTGTTGATGTTTTCTTCTGCGTTTTATATTTGTCTTCCATTTCCACTCGAGTTGTGGAGGCAATGATGTTTTGAACTACCTATTTTATGAGGGAATTTTCCCTTGTGATTACAAAAGTACCAATGGATCCTTCTGAGCCTTCACTCTTCGTTTGGGTATCTCTATTTCATGCTCTCTAGTCTCTAGAATTAGATTGTTTATTTTTTTTCCCCTATTCCAGAAACGCGAAAATACTAGTATTGGTAACCATGTTCAAGATGCGACCGCCGATATGATGATAACCTGTTCCGAATTATATGTGTCGACTCACATTCAGACTACAATTATCTGATCGGCGGCTTCTTCAACGCCCCAAACTTTTCGCGTTTCGATTTTTATTTTAAACTCCAACAACATATCAGCCGATATGATTAATCCTAATCACAGTAGGCTGAGAACTAATGAGAATCATAAATGTCCATATCACATGCTCTGTGCAGGACCTGCAGGTGAAACTAATCTTAATTCTTAGGTCGTATTTATTAATGTAAAATAATCCCACAAGTGCCATGTACTATAAATTATGCCAAAGAATGTGGGCGCCTGTTTTCACTCAATTTCGATCTCAATAGAACGTGGGCCCAAAATAAGAATCTCGAAGTGGAGAGAATTATTTTTAGAAAATGGACTTAAAAATTTTGTTTCATATTTATAAAAATATATTTAAAGAAATAAAAAATAGAATAATATTGAACAAAAAAATGGAAATTAAATTTTGGTAACATTTATAATGTTTGGGTAACTACTACTTTTAAATGTCTAATTTTAATTTATATTGAATAAGAAAAATGTTAGTAATAGGGTTAAGGTTTAATTTTATCTCTGTATTTATTTTTTAGGATCACTTACACCTTATATTTTTAAATGAGGTAATTTTACCTCTAAATTATTTTTCAGAGAAACAAAAACTCCCTTTCATTAATTGATTGTTAATTTTTTTTATTTTTTTGCTAACGTAGCATGTGTGTGAGGCCCACACACAATTATATGTAAAGCTTTGACTATATTAATTAACGTTAATTTGTTCCTAAGCTGGCATCTTGAAATTTTGTTAAAATAAAATTTAACAAATATTGTTAAAATATTAAATATTTTAATATTTAATAATTTAAATATTACTATTTAAAGCTTTACACAACCAAATTTAATATTTTAATATTTTTGATATTTTACAATGTTGTATTAAAACTGAAACAAATGAACCTCCAAAACATTGAAGGGATTTTTTTTTTTTTCATTTCTCCATTTTTCTCTTATTAAGTAACTTTTTTGTAGCATAGTAATGGAATAAATGATATTTTTTAAATAAATATTTTTGTTGTCATATTGTTGGCCCTGCTTTGTCATGTTTATAATTTTACTATTAACACTACAACATCTAAAAAGTATTAAATTTGGGCAATATAATATTTTAGAGGAAAATCATTAATTGATTAAAAAAATTAAGAAACTCAACCAATATTAAAAATATAAGTAAATTTTGACACGCATAAAAGGCGTAATGATTTGGGTACTATATCAAAGAGAAGATTGAACATTGATATATAAAAACTAAAAAGTCATTTATAAATTTATAAAATGCTAGCAAAAATAATATTTAAATATAAAAAATATTAAATTGGGCAGTGTAATATTTTAAATAATAATATTTAAACTATTAAATATTAAAATACTTACTATTTTAATAATATTTATTCAATTTTATTTTAACAAGAGTTCAAGGTGCCCAGCGCTCTGAGAAAAAGATTTTAAGATACTTGGCGCTCCTAAAAAAAAGAGTTCATGAATAAATTAGCACCCAAGGATATGCCACGTCTTACATGTCACTGTGCGTGAGCCTTATGCACATGCCACATCAGTAAAAAAATAGGAAAATTAATGGTCGATTAATGGAAGGAAGTTTTTGCTTCTTGAAAAAATAGTTTAGAAGTAAAATTGCCTTACTTAAGAGTATAGGATGCCTAACGCTATTAAAAAATTAGTACAAAAGTAAAATTAAATCTTAACCCTTTAAATAAAGTTAATAAAAGTTATTTGACATATCTAAACTTGAGATTTATAAGTTTACACATTTTGGTGGTAGGGAGGGCATTAACACTTGAAAATTTAAAATAAATGAAGAAGTTGAAGTTTGTTATAAACCATTAATAATAGTTTGAGAGAATAATGAAGTTCATAAGAACTAAAGTGAGTTAATGAACTCAATGACCAAGTTTGAACGCTAGAAATGAGAGCTTTGGACATTTATGTTAAAATAGGAAGTTGAAAAATTGTATAAATGATGATTTTAGATTTTTGAATGTTGAAATCAATATTACTCAAATTCATGAGTTAAATATAGTTTATGAGAGCTAATGTACCCATTGGTCGGGAGTAAACTCAATAGGTTGATATTATGTAGGAGTTAAAGTGTTGAAATAGGAAGTTTAGATATTGTAAATAGTAATATTGATAATTGTGGACTTGATTAATTATAGATTAATCATCCTTGACATCAAATTAAGCTTGATATTAAGTTTTAGAAGCATTTATTGAGGGGTAAAGTTTGACCACTTAAAGGTTTTAAGTAATCGAAGGAATCTACTTTGTGTAATTATGTGTTAATTGATTTGAATTTTTATGTAAAATGTGTTGTAAAATACAATTAAGGCTATAATGATTTTGTAAATTATAATGTGATGATAAAATGAAAAAACATATATTATGTCATGATATTGAGAAATTTATAATGACTAATGGATAATAATGGTTGTGATAGGAAAATGAGAAAATGTAAAATGATATATGTGTGTGTGGTGAAATGGCATGTATGATGATATGTGGAAGTATGTGTTGATCATTGTGATAGAATGATGTGTGTTTGTATACAATGCTCACATTTTAAAGCTTGATGTAAATATGTAAATAAGCTTACTATTGTAAATTGATAATATGTTATATGTGAACATGAGTGAATGCATAATCGTATTGGCGAGAATTCACTTAAAGAGAAGAGTGGCGATAAAAATTCATATGGTATTGACTGCTTATTGTTCAAATCAAAAGCTAGCTTAGCTACCTACCATTGAAATTGAAAAGTAGCCATTGTCTCACTATTTGTTTGTCAAGGAACTCAAATCTAGTTATCTCCACCTGTTTGTCGAGAAGACTAGCTTAGAGTTTACGACACCTCAGTGATTCAGAAATGGGAGAAGCCATAGATCGAGAGTGAGAGTAATGATATTGGCTAGGTTGCTTCTTACAATTAATGCGTTTGGATAGTCCATTCGCACGAACAGAGCCTTATTTGATTGATAGCTTATGGTTTCAATTATAAGTTATAAGTAAGATATAAGATTGGTTTGATCATGCATATTATCTAAGGTATCACATGATTATTAAGTTTGTGGCAAGTCGTGATATTAGAGTTGGCCATTGTCACATGATTGTTGTTATTATGGCAATGTGCCTTGCATAATTAATTTAGCCATTGTCACATGATTGTTAGCATTGTAGCAATTTTGACTTGTGAAAAGATAAGATTATGATTATTTATACAAAATAACATGAGTTATATGTGAAATTGTGATATATGTGATTTCATGTCTCATATGTGTGCTTTGTTCTAAAAAGTGTTAATTAATATGCAACTATAGAAGGTAGAGTACTCACTCCTCTCTCTTAACATTTTGTATACTATAGTTCAGGTGATAAAAAGGGAAAAGCTTTAGAGGTATAGCAATCAATTTCCTATTATAAATCCTCCCACTTTATGTTAATATGTAATTTATGATGATAATGCTAACTAGGTTTATGTTTTGATCTTTACTTGTACTTTGTGTTGTGCATAGTCAATACATTGTATTTTGGAGCTCTAAGGTTATTGTATAAGTTTCAGTAAACTTTCTAAAAGGCCAAAGATTTGAGTGCAAGTGTTGAATTAAATGAAAACTCTTATTTGACATATCTCCCTTATTTGTTTTCTATATCAAGGGATTGAGAGCCGAAAATGATATATTGGAGTTATTTTATATATGTGTTGTGTTGCATAAGTAGTCTTTAGTCTATTAAGTGTGTTTAGGTATTGGTTGTAGCTTTTGGCATGAGTTAGGTTTTGAACATCCTATGTATTATGGAAAGTGTGAAAAATGAATTTGTGCATCTAACTCTTTTGTATGAAATTATTTGGGATAAGACCTATACTACTAGCTAGTGTAAGAAAAAAACTTTCTATAGACATCTATTTAAACTTAATCGAATGTCAAATGGAGGAATTGGGCATATTAAGAGTTGGCTCCCACTGCCGTCAAATCATAGCAGCACTGCTACCAATTTTGTGCAGCGTGCCATAACGTGTGCCACTTGTGCAGTGGCACATTACATATAAAGGAGCACGCCACAGCACATGCATGCCAAGTTGTAGCACCTGCCTCTGTTTCATGTTGTTTGGATTTTCTAAATTTTCTTGCAATGCTTTTGATGTGAAATGTTATCCATACTTCCATAATTATCTTAATCTCTATTTTTAGACTAATTGTTATCCTTGGAAATAACTTTGAATGGTTTGAAAACTTAAGATTTGAATTTGTAAAACAATATCATTTGAATTCTGTAGTGTTTTGAAAATGATTAATGGTAAGGTAACTTGTTGGAGTTAATCCTATGATTACCCAAGAGTATTAAATATGTGGATTAGTAAGAGAGACTTTACAAAAGATGCTCTTTACAAATGGCTAACCAATCATTCTACAATGTTCACTTAAGTGCTGCTTGATAGGAGAGTATTTTCAGCATAATTATCCATTAGTTTTGATTCAAGATAACCATCAAATTCTAGCTCACATATATTCGCATATAACTTTGCACTTATCAATTGAGTTGAGAATTGATGGCTCACTTGCTACATATGTTATATATTGGGAAAATAGAAATCAAGGACCATTGGAGAAAAATTGTATTAGTTAAGAATTAGTTATTGTCAAAACTCGAATGGATATTTGTTAATTCAAGTTAGTCTTTTATCAACAAGTTTCCATTGCTTTTAACAACAACTCATTTTAAATTAACAACAGTCAATTTAAGCTTGTTTTTCATTTAAATTTTGACAATATTTGGTCCTTGACTGATATAAATTTGCTCCAGCAATCTTTGATTGCTATTTTTCCTTTTATATTTGAATCATCCTCTAAATTGCATGCTTGGTACCGTGTTGGATTTGTGCATGTAGGATATCTATATACTAGATTCGTCACCAATTTATTAGGAGGAAGTCATAGCTTTTGCCCAATAAGTTGCTTTAGTCCATGCAAGGTAATATTT